AGAACTGCTCGCACCTTTTTTCGCTGCCGCACTTGGGGAACGGATTTAAATTGCAGCACGCAGTCTAGCATGTCTATGGATAAATTATTTAAATTATTAATAATAACCTCACATTTTCGTAATTTCCTAAATTTTCTATTATCAAAATCAGTCAGCGTTGTAACAAAATGATCATGTTAAATTCGATGAGGTGGAACGGACTTAAAGGCAAAAACCAAAAATTATAATTTTAATACTCAAATGTTTATTGACCCAAAGAAAAATAGTTTGAACTTGATTTATACTGAATATAAACAGCTTAGATTTAATTTAAAAAAAAAATAAATAAGTTAGTTCTTGATCATTAATTATTACTACACACTCTAATTGAAATCTTCTCTTGAATACCTACTAAATAGTCTATTCGTACTATTTTCAACTAGATACCATTAACCGAACCAATTGGTTCAAAGAGAATTAGGAATTTTTATCAATTTCTTGTTTATTATCTGTCCATTTAACGGCATAAAACAACATCCACATTAACATCATGTCACACCTAAACTATTTTACATAGCCTAAATATTTATATTTTCTTGAATTCTCCTAGAAAACGGATCCTTATTTGTTTGTTGGACTTCTAATACACGGTTGAGTGCTCGCACTAAAGGAAAATGACACTTTTTTGGAGGTTATTATAACATAAACACTGAATTTTTAATAATACACCACATATTAAGTTTTTAATGATACACCCCTATGTCACAGGAGCCAAACTCACTGAAAGCTAAATAATATCAAATCACGATTTATTCGGTCACTTTTTTATTGATTTTTATATGAATTCAGATCATTCCATACACATTCTTATAGATTAAAATATAAAACAGCATTCTTATCTTGAGTTTTTTAGTTCAACTACTACCAATAGCGAAGAAAAAACACGTTATACGTATAAATTAAGAAACCTGCCCTTATTCTCGTGATTTGGCACTACGTATTTTTTATTTCCCGAGTTCAATCGCTGTTAAACGAAGAACATATATTTTCACTTTAAAACTGCAAAGAAAAGAGTAGTTCTTAAACGAACATTAACTCCATTTTGAAAAATAATAAATCGCATGGGACGTTGTAGGGTTAGCAAAATGATATTGAAAAGTACTATATTTGAACAGATAAAAATTTAAAATAAAAGATTTGCAGTATTAGTTTAACTTTGTTCAGTCCCACATCTTGTTTATAACCTCATATAAAACGAAAATCCTTTTAAAGTAAGTATGAATTTTAGCGACTTGATTCTTTTAGCCTAAATGTCTAAATAGTACTCACTTTATTTTCGATCTGTACAGTGCAAGTCAAGATATAGTGTTTCATAGTATTGACTTATTTTCAGCGTGTAAACAAAGAAAACAATCATATTTCCTATAGGTCACACCTCCACATTCCTTATGCACGTCCATTAGTGAACTCCAGACGATTATTTCCGATCCAGCTTATACGTAAGAAACAGCAGCAGGATTGCCTTATTACATATTTGAATTAAAACATTGAATTGATTAAAACAATTGGCGATAAGTGTCGCGATTATATTGCCATTCAAACCTGGATGATGATAATCAAAATAAAACACTAACTGACACAAATACTGGTACAAAATTTCTTAAATCCACGAAAAATTTACAGACTTGCATTTTTTTATGAAATTGTAACCCAATTTTGATTAAAACGAATTAATTTTGGTAACATCTTATTTTTAATTTAAAGGTTTTTTTTCGTCCAGTTTAAATTTAATATAATACACTTGCTCCTTCCTAATGCTTTACTATTAATGTCTTTATTTATTATGCTTTATGAAAGACCAATCCGCTATAAACCCATGCAATACGCATCGCATAACAAACTAGTTTTGTTCTGTAGAGATGAGCGTTGAATCAACGAACTTTTTTATTCAAACCGTTTATTTGTCGTTAACGAATCTACGGTTTCTTACTTGGAAGCCAACGAGTTGATGGGTGATTCAAGAAATCTACGTTTTGTGTAGACGTAAACAGAGAAACAAAGTACACTTCACGTTGGCGAGGACAATTAGTTGATCTGAGAGACTACTATCGATTCTTTGGAGACGATGGACAGTCGGGCGATCGGTTGACGTTGAAAATAAAATAACTATGTAGGTATTCTGATTACAGAATGAGTTTCGATTTTCGACTGATCTGCATTTTCGATTTCAAATCTTAATTGATAGTTGATAGAGACTTTTGCTCTTACAGAAATATACCTTTGTTTTAGACTAAAACTTAGTTAAACTTTCATAAAAATGCCGATTAAAGCAAAGTGTTTGTGAAAAACAAGCTTACAAGCTTTTATTGTGATATTGTTGATCACATGCATGTTTGCAAGTTCATTTGCATAAAAAAATGAACCTCTAAAGAACTTTGTCCATGGAGTAGCAAGCAAGCATCGACTCTCCTAGATGAATGATATTCGATGCGATACGTTGCAGGTTTGTTAGGAAGACATCATTCAGCATCGAGTCGCAAGGTGAGGCGATATAATGAAACAGGGTCGTACCATCGGAGACCAAAGCAAGGTCGAAAACGTTGCACTAATCAAATTAATAATCGCTTTTTTAGACAACGTGCTTCAGAGAATAGAAGAGTCACCAGCAATTTGCTAAAAAATGAACTAGCAGATGTTCGAAATGTCGTGATATCGTCTCGGAACAGTTAGAAGAGTTTACTTAAAGCTAGATTGAGCAACAGGAAAACCGGACAAAAAACCCTTGCTTACAGCAGAATGGAGCAACAGAAAACCGGACAAAAAACCCTTGCTTACCAGAGAATACAGAAATCAGAGATTAAATTTTGCAAAATTGCATCAAAATTAGACCATCGATGATTGGAAACGAGTTCTTTTATACGATGAGACTAGAGTAGACCTAAAAGCTCCAGATGGTCGTGAGTGTGTCTGGCGCAGGCGAGGAGAACGGTTGGCCAGCTGCAATATCTCTCCTAAAGTACCTTTCGGCGGTGGCTCTTGGCTCTAAAATGTTTTAGGGGGAAATTATTTTAAAGCTCGTACAGAATTGGTCCCCATACGTACGAGGTCTATGAATGCCCATTATTACTTAGACAACATTATTGTCGAAAATGTAATGCTTTTTGCTCCGTTTCTTGGACCTTATTTTTTATTCATGCAAGACAACGTTCGTCCTCATGTGGCTCGACAGGTTATTGGCTACCCAAATGATTTAATATTCCTTTATTAGAGCGGCCGCCTAACAGTCCGGACATGAATCCTATAGAGCATCTATGGGACTATATCAAAATAAAGATTCAAAGTCGTAGACCCCCTATTGCCAATCACAACCAACTCATTGAGGCCTTTATTGAAGAATGGGAGAATATTCCGCAAGCTTTTGTTGAACATTTGATATCAAGCATGCCTGGACGCATAAATGCAGTCATAAGAGGAGGAGGCCTATACAGTATTAGTGTTGACCCAGATGCATTTTATTGTGTTACTTTACTGATTTTTTTCTTTTTGCAATTTGGAGTTATGCTAGCTTATTTACGCATTTCCGACAAAAACAATTTTTTAAAGAAACAATAAGGCAAATTAAGGTCATGATAAAGACATGTTACTTATTTGTAGGTGTTTATTATTATTTCAATGTAACTTTGTTTTATTTCGTATTCATATTGTAAATATTTAGATTAATTAAAGTGGTGCGTTAATTTTGTCCAGGAGTTTATAAAATTTAAACGTCAAAACTATAAAACACGACATCTTGACTTTGCACTTCAATCAATTAAATTTTTCTAGATGTTCTAGGTATATTTTATAAAAAAAATCAGTCCCACAGCTAGTCGATGTTTTTATTGTTAAATATAGAATACATATTGATATTCAAATAAAATTTTTAATGGATTACATAATATTTTATATATGCATATATTTAAAAAAAAATAAAATGTATAATGAATAATAATAATAAAGACAGAGACATATTTTGCTTGTATAGTTTAAAATTATATACTTCCCATGTATTTTATGAATTTAAAAAAAAGCGTTGTAAAATTATTGTATTTTGCCAAATTACGGTACTATAACTGTTGTTATCAGTAACAACGGATCAAGTACTTTAGGTATTCATATTAAGTTTTTTCAAACAATAAGCTAATCTATAAAAAAACGTGCAATGTACTTTTTTATAGTTACTTTGATAATGTATGGGATAAAAACTAATAATCTCACGAAACATATAAGCACAGTAACAGTCACTTCAATATTTTTGATTAAAAAAATATAAAATATATTATAACTATCTATGATAATTACATAAAAAATAATAGAGATATATGAAATATATATATAATAATATAGTCATCTATAGTAACTACAAAAATATTTAATTTTTAACAGTAAATCAAAGAAAAAATTGAACAATACAGAATATACATTATGATTAACAAACAATTAGATTGACAAATATATTAATATATTTCTACCATCCATATTGGCATCTAACCTAGACAGTAGATAATACAACAATTTATAATTATTTGGAAGATCTGTAAAACATTAAAAGGTTAAGGCAATTTCAATTTAATTAGGAAGCAAATAAGTATTAAGCCACTTTATTTTGTTTTGTTAAACTTTGATTTCTTTGATAATATAAAAAAATATACCCGATAGTCAAATTTGTATTTTATACTGCCTCCTGAAAATTTTCAAAAATGTGTTATCTAATAAATTACCGCCACAGATAGAAAAGATAATAAAGATTTTCTACAATCACAACACAATCGTCACGAATTTGGAAAATATATTAACTGATACAGTTAACTACATGAAAAATATTAAGTTTTTTTTCAAAAAACATATAACTTATCCATTTAACTATAATCCCAAAATGACGTTTGTTTTATAATTAAACTTTGTATTAAAGTAACCACAAATACATATTCGTGACATAATTTATTGGATAACTAGTTTTTGTGTTTTAATATATAAAGAAACTATATTTGGAATACTTCGGTCTGAGTCTGGTACTCGTCTAAGGCTTGCTTAATTTCACACTGTACAACACATAAATTAAAAAATATAAATTTACCACCACCACTCTCTCCCAAACGTTCCTCCCTTCGTTTATACATTTCTACATATGCGCATTTTGTGTACCGTCGCTATTTTACAAAAACGACGTGATCAGCAGGGATATGACAATTCCGATTAGCAATACCAACATCACGTACATGTAAGTGCAGTACTCCTCGGAAAAGGTGAGCGCTTGCCAAATGGAATGATAGAGAGAACGATGTTTGTGAGACGGCCCATGTGGAGCGATACTTCCTGTGGAGGTGGACTTTGTAGATGAGCCTGCTGCTGGTTCCAAAGCGGTTGTCGTGAATGATGTTGAAGGTGACGCTGGACCGGGAAGTTCCCCGACCGATGTCAAACGGACAGGACAAATACGAGCCATGTAGTCGGTTCCTGGTTCCAGGTCTTCGATGGTGCATTTACCCTCAGAAGTCTTAGATACCTAAAATATTTAAAATAATGTTAAATACAAAAGCAATTATCAGTGTTTTAGCGCAATAGTTTTACTGTTGTTAAGATAATCTCCAGAACTAAATTTGTAGAATTTTTTTCATTCACTATATATATATATATATATTATATATATATATATATATATATATATATATATATATCATATAAATTCCATATGGTTTTTATTTAACACCTTGGAATTGCGTTTGGATTTTGGATAAGAGTATGTTTTTTTTTATTGTTATGAAAGTACAGTGGAAAATTTACGGATATGCACATGGAATGTACGAACCCTTTATGCCCTAGTTGCTCTTAGACTGATCACACAAGAACTTGATAAAATGAAAGCCGATGTAGTAGCGATTCAAGAGATGAGATGGACTGGTTCACGAATTATCGAGAAAAGAGACTACAATATATACTTTAGCGGACATAGCACCCGACACGAGTTTGGCAGTGGTTTTCTAGTCAGTAAAAAAAGTAAAGCATTAAGTCCTTAACTTTAAACCCATAAACAACAGAATATGTTATCTGCGTCTTAAAGGAAAATTCTTTAATTATAGCTTACTTAGTGTACACGCACTAGGGAAGAAAAGGAGGATAATGAAAACGATGAATTCTATGACATCTTAGACAAAGAATATGATCGATGTCCACGTCATGACATGAAAATCATTGCTGGGGACCTTAATGCACAAATTGGCAAAGAGCAATTTTTCCAGCCAACTATAGGACGTGAGAGCTTACATGAAGAGTCAAATGATAACGGGTTGAGACTAATAAACTTTGCAAGTACTAAAAATATGATAGTAGTAGGAAAAAGATTTCCCATAAAATGATACACAAAGGAACATGGAAATCCCCTGATAACGAAACCATTAACCAGATACATCACATCCTAATAGATGCAAGGCACTCTTCCGATCTCATAGACGTCAGAAGCTACCGAGGTCCAAACATTGCCAGTGACCACTTTCTTGTAATGGCAAAAGTCAGAGGAAGAATATCAAACCTAAAAAAGATAAACACACGAAACAAAACAGAATTAATGTTGATAATCTGCACATTGAAACCGTTGCGAGAGAGTATAGGAGACAAATGAACGAGGAAATGGAGAGCCTGGAGGTGGGGGAAAATGTAGAGGAACTGTGGACAAAATGTAAAAACATAATAACTGGAAAAGCAACAAAAATATTGGGGAAAACCAAATCAGTTAAAGAAAACGAATGGTTTGACAAGGAGTGCCAAGAAGCAACAGACAGGGCATACCTAAAGACAAATCAAGCTGGATGCACAAGAAGAGCAAAGGAAGAATACCGGACCCTAAGAAGAGAAGAAAGACGATTACATAGAAGAAAAAAAGACAATTTGAGCAAAAGCAGTTGGAAAGCACAGAATGGCTAAGAAATCAAAATGAAACTCGAAAGTTCTACAGAAATCTAAACAAAATGCGCAAAGAGTTTAAGCCATGAATCAGGAGCTGTAACGATGTAGAAGGAAACATCCTAAATGATACGGCCTCAATCCTAAACAGCTGGGTTGAATTTTTCGATGCAAAATTTAATGGCCATCATATCGAAGAAGCAGATAACACTCCAGCAAATCGAAATGATTGGAATCCTTTCAACCCAAACGAAAGACCACCTACCATCGAAAACATGCATCGAAAACGTTGCCCAAGCCATTAAAAAGCTTAAAAATAATAAATCATAATGAGATCATGCCTTGTGAATGGTCTCAAGGCGTGATATGTCCGTTACATAAAAAAGGTGACCAGCTCCAGTGTACAACTATAGAGGTCTAACCCTGTTAACAACTGCTTATCAAATACTAGCAAATATTCTCTACGAAAGGCTGCAAGTTTACACAGTGGGCCTAGTTGGTAAATATCAAGCTGGATTCACTCCACAAAAATCAACAATTGACCAGATTCATTCAATAAGACAGATTATCGAGAAAACATTAGAATTCAATATTAAAACCCATCAACTATTCGTCGACTTCAAGGCCGCATACGACAGTGTCAAGAGAACAGTGCTATACCAATCAATGCATGAGTTTGGTATACCAGAGAAACTTATCCTACTAACGAGAATGACAATGTCTAACTTAGAAGCCACTGTTAGAATACAGGGAGAGAATTCTAGATCCTTTGAGATAAAGGATGGACTCAGACAAGGGGATGCTCTGGCTTGCCTTTGAATATTGCCTTAGAAAAGGCAGTCCGAGATACACGAATTAGGGATGGCGGTACTATTTACAATAGATCGATACAAGTCTTAGCATATGCTGATGACATTGACATAATAGGGCGTAGCAAGCGAGATGTTGAGCAATATCTCCTAGAATTGGAAAACAGCGGCGAAACAGGTCGGTCTAGTCATCAACGAAGACAAAACCAAGTATATTTTGATTACAAAGGATCCGATAGCAAATGAGGAACGAGAAACAGTCTTAATTACTATTTAACTGGGAATAAGCCACAATTAAAGATAAAAATACGTTTATTGACGTTTCAATTTCCACTTCGGAAATCGGAGAACGATTAATAATTCAATAATGTAATATTCAATACTGAAAAATAAAGAAATTCGTTTTGAAATTGATGATTTCTCTGTTTATAACGTCTTAATTGCATTCGTTCCAATGATGAATATCTAGGAAACTCTGTACGTATTACATATTGTTTCTACAAAACATAAATAACTCCAAATAACGGAATCACAGTTTTTGTAAGTTCAATAATATTTTGATATTTCTTACATTGAAACTGTAAGTGTAGTCTCAAATCCTACTTTTGAGTAGATTGTTTTGCAATCGGCTCAAAAGTTGATTGTAATAATTATATTTAAATAGTTATAAGACCTTACCTGCTTGAAAACTTGTTCCTTTAGTCTTGCTAATTGTACTCTGTAGACAACGGAATCCGAAAATGCATTTTTAGCTGGCAACCACTCAAGAGAACAACTCCTTTGTTCCACTTCTATAACTTTAGGAGCTTTCAGCGTCGTTGGAGGAGCAACTGTGGTAGTAAACTCATAGTCTTCAGAAAAATCTCCAACACCTGCATCGTTAGCAGCGTTCACCCTAAATCTGTATGTTGTAGATTCATGTAACTTGTTGACTTTGCAAGTGAGAGCTGTTCCTTTGTACACACACTGATAATCTCCGGCGCGCGGATTGTCCATTTCCACACAGTATTGGGTATATTCAGTGTTTTTGCCTTCGCCCCATTTTAATTTAATATAGTTATGAGCAGTGGCAATACATTCTAACCTAAAACATTTTATTATCAAATTTAATATTAAGTAATCTTTATATTGAATCATATTATAGATGTACAAGTTATTCATAGTATATTTACATTGTAATACACAAATTTAATTAGGATTTAATACATAATAATAATACTGCAAATACGAGCAAAGACATTGATCGCAATTTCAAAATCAATATTTTAAGAGCCAGCATTGGATCTTACTCATTCTGTCTGTCATTTCAACTACATCCAGCATCCAGCTGGTCGGATACTTATACCCGTAGTATAAACAAAAAAATGTTTCATGTGTTTTTTGTGGAGTGTTATGTGTTTTCTTTTGGATTTTTGTTTGAGAAGTTTTTTTGGATCGATTCCTCTTTAGTAGAAGTACTTTATAAATTTGACCATAGTTCTGATGATGACTTTTTAAGCCGAAAGCGTTCAGCTAGAAATTAAATATTATACAGTTCAAAAATACTTTCTTTTCCATTCATTCATTTGTCATAAACGTGTACAAAAATATATCAGTTATTTTTTCAACTGTTTCTATATGTATAGTGTTTTCATTCACAAAATATTCCATATACATTCAAAGAAACAATCAAGGATAAAATAATCCAACTCAAACAACTCAAGAAGAAATATAGGCCACTACTGGCTCAAGAAATTTCCAAATACAGTACCGTCAGTAAATCTGACAGTATGCCGGATCACAAATGTATCGTAAAAAGAACAGATTTAAGCCGTTTATAATGTTTTCGGAATTGGTTTTCGATCTTTTGGGACAAAGAAAGTTTCCGAATATTAATGAAAGCAAAAACAATGGCTTCAAAAACAAATTGACTTACCTGGGTGCAGTCGGAGGCAGCCTCAACGTAGCAGTTCTCAATGAAGACGAAAATGGACCATGTGCAACATCATTGATAGCTTGGATCTTGATTTTATAATTTGTTTCCGGAAGTAAACCCTCCACAGTATATTCATTTACAGCGCCATCTGTTGATATTGTCCTATCACCGATTTCAATGTTGTAATTCGTAATAGGGCTACCATTCTAAAAAAATACATTTGTAAGTAATTTCTCAAAAAAAAGTGGTGTACTGAATTATGGGGAAATTCAAAATACTTACCTCATTAGGCGTGTTCCAATATAAGGTCATGGAGGTAGGAGTTGATTCAGATTTCAACGAAGTAACAGCAGAAGGAGGTGCTGCAGGTGTTAATGTAGTAGCAACTGGAGAAAATCCGCTGAAACCGGCACTATTACCGGCCTGAACTCTAAAGCAGTAGGAATGGAAAGGGGTCAGACCCTTTACGTCATAGTTCAATTGAGGCCCTTGGTATACACTGGAGAATTTATCTTCACTTAAGTCAGGACTTACTTCTAGTCTGTAAACATCCATAATTATTTAAAGCAAAATAATAAAATCATCTAAAATATGCAAATGACACATTAACAACACGTTACCCTAATATTACAAGGTTCTATGTAACATTTTTTACTAAATTAAGTTTTCTATATTACAAAGTTCTATGTGACTAGCACTACATCACAATTTTGTATGGAAATTAGTTTGCTCACATACAACTCTGGTAATATTAAAAAAACCAAGGGTGTATGTACAAAATTATGCTTTATATGAATAGCAAAGAATGGTAAACATAGAACTTGGAATTTAAAATTTGATTAAAATCTAAATATTACATGGTTCTATGTTGTAACATACAACTTGTTATTGTATTTTTTGTAAAAAGTGAGGTTATGTTTCCTGTATTTATAATACAAATCGCAAGCGTTTTTCGAGAGTGTTATTTGTTGTCTAGAATTAAAAAAAATGAGTAATTTAAGTGATGAACTATGTCCAAGACTCTGATGATGATGAGGATTACGTATTACCAGTTCCAAAAATCATCGAAGATGAAAGAATGCAGGTAGATTTATCTATATCTTATATTGTGAGGTTAGGTTTTTATTTTTTATTTCTTTTTTTACAAAAAGTTCTTTGTTTCAGACTTAAAATTCGTGGACGTGTTATTAAAGGTCAATTCACACACATCAGTCACGTCACAGTCACGGTACGAAACCGGTCCTGTTTGGTCACAGAACTATCAACTATCTGACAGCTGGCAAACTGTTCGTCAATGATGAGTGTGAATGCCGGCGCCATATTTGTATTAAAGAAATATTTTGTATGACGGATTGTTCGATTCGGCGCAATCACTGAGACGAGATGGTGACGAGACGTGACTGATGTGTCTGAATCGAACCTTTATATTTCCACGTGTCAAGTAAGAAGTAGCAGCGAAAGTGATGACAGAAACTAACTCAGAAACGGATTCAAAGCAGGTAGGCATGATTTGCTAACACAAAAAAAATTAAACATAACGTAACATTTTATTAATTTCTTTTTATAATTTAGCTTGTTGTTACTATTTAAAAAAACTAATTTGTTTTAGAAAAGCTCCTAGTTCGTCTTCCACCTCAATCATTCACACTCAAAGAATAAAAAGGCCCCAATCATAGTTGTTAGCAATATTAAGATTAAAAATGCATCTAACTCTGGTTCTGGTGACTTGCAGTCTAACTTAAATAGGTAATATTTTTGACAATTATTTTGTTTAGAACCTAAATCGCGAAAACATTTTTTTTTTTATTTTTATTTTAGAAATGAACCTAGCAGTTCTACAACTTTAGTTCCAAAATTCACCAAGAAAATCCCGTCTTCAGAAGATAACAAAATTAAGATTCTAGAACCAGAACCATTTTCTTGTATTTCCGATGATACAAATAATATTGGACATATTTCCGAAGAAATTTTACTAGAAGAAGCAACTCATAATATAATAAAAGATAAAAAGATATTTACTAGAAAACGACCAGAAAAAAACACTTCTGAATGGACATGTAACAAAAGAAAATCTTTATTTGATCAAGGTCTAGAGTATATTTCTTTCTCGAAAAAAGGTAGCACCTGCTAGAAAGATTAGAAATAAAAAAGATTGTGTACAAAAGTGCAGAATGAAGTGCTCGCGTCAAATTAGCGACGAACAAAGGAAGGAAATTTTTAAAAAACTATTATTTACTCCTCAGCCATCGAAAAAGAAAAACTATATTTTTGACATACCACAGAAGCTGAGACTCCTTGGAGACGAAGAAAAAAAGGCAAAAAATCCAGAAAATTCGAGAAAAAGCAAAAGTTTTAGGTTTTATTTTGAGATAAATAATCAAAAGATCCAAGTTTGCAAGGCTTTTTACACTGGGACTTTATGCATAATCCAGAAACCAATTTATACGGTGCACAACAATAAAAACTTCCACCAAAACCCTACCCGAAAGTAAACAAGGCAAACATCAAAAACGGGTAACATCACTTAACATGATTCCAAGAATGGAATCCCATTACTGTCGCAAAAAAAACTAATAAAGAGTATTTAGAAAGCGGATTTAAGTATCAAAAAAATGTATGAGCTTTATTTGGATTTTGCTGGAGAATGCAAAAAAAAATCCAATCCTTTTCTTTAAGCTGTCTACAGAAAAATATTTTGCAACTATTTTAATATAGCTTTTCAACAAACCAAGAAAAGATAGATGTGGATACCCTGCGAAGAAATAAAAATTAAGAAAAATGGAGAAGAGGGAAGACGAAGAATCACAACGAAGATATACAGATCATTTGAAAGAGAAAGAGTATATGAGAGAAGAAAAACAAAGAGATAAAGAAAGCGGGGAATACCTTTATTATGTTTTGATCTGGAAAATGTTTTGAAATGTCCAAAAGCAGACATAAAATTTTTTTTTTATAAGAGCGGAAATATAAAATAGCATATAAATTAAATGTGTACAATATGGACCGGTCACCTTTCGCGTTGGGAAAAAAGGTATATTGTGCCGTGTGGACAGAAGCTTTACATGGAAGAAAGGGAAATGACATTGCAAGCGCAGTTTATAAAAATAGTAGGAAAAGTGTTGGAGGACCATCCAGAAGTTTACAAAAATCAATTTTGTGGAGCGATAGCTGCGTTACCACAGAATCGAAACAGTCTTATGAGTTATGCTCTCAGTTACCTAATTCAAAAACATCAGAATGTGCAAATATTTCCATGAAATTTTCTGTTACCAGGACATGCTTGTATTCAAGAGGTCGATGCAATTCCACAGTGCAATTGAAAGAAAACGTTGAATAAAGTAGAAAATATTATTCTCCTATATCACTTCTGCGGAGAGAGTAGCGGAATTTGTATATCTGGGCAGCATAAATTGACTGTAATGGGGGTACAGAGCGTGATGTACATGAAAGAATAAATAAGGCTCGCAACGCCTACAACATGCTTAACAACAAATGGAAATCCAGGATTTACCCAACTAAAAACGAAACTAAAAATCTTCAACACAAATGTAAAAGCTGTATTACTGTATGGCTGCGAAACGTGGAAGATATCAGCACCCATAGTACAACCAATTACAAAGTTTTCATTAATAGAGCGTACGAAAAATCCTTCGTATATTTGGGCCTAAACCGAATCTCCAATGAAAATTTATGGAACCAAAGCAACCAAGAAAATGTCATAAAGCAAAATAAGAACGAAGAACAATGGAGATGGCTAGGGCCCACACACTCCCGGTAGACACAGACCGCCAAATGACATTGCCAGGACAAGGCAACAGTATTTGGAAATCCCCATAGGCCGACGGAAAGTAGGCAGTGACCTAAAGTAGGGCACATTGGAGAAGGTACCAGTCACTGGCCTGAAGGGGCGAACCGAATGGGAAAAACGTGGCTTCCGCAAATAAAGCACTATATATATATAAAACTAAAATATATATACAAAAATAACTATACTCTATATAAATAAATATATATCTCCACTTTTCTGCGCTAGCCTTTTAAAAAGTAAACCGACATCATCAAGCCATATACCAATAATTCAAATGAAAACAAGAACAGATTATATAGGATATTTCAAGTCATTTTTTCTTTTTCTTCCAGCCAACTGAACTAACAAACGCTGTAACCATTTATCCAAAAGTAGTAGCATTAGAATTTTTCTAAAATCCTTTTTTTGAACTGAAGTATAAAGATGACTCTTATGAAATCCAACCAAAGGAGCAAAAAACTGTAAAATTTTACCATACAAAGAAAATTACGAAAGGGTCATGTTCAAACCGAAACAGAACCACTCATAATTTATTCCTATTCAATTAAAAAAAAAAATTGTGATAAGGAGCGGTTGTACTCTTCTTCCCCCAAATAAAGATAGATTGCCCCTAAAATCTATGTTCAAGTAATATCCCTGAAAGTTGATAAGGGAATACTACGAAGGTATTTTTTCCCCCACCAAAAAATAAGATTTAATTTGTTTTATTTTAATTTTTGTAAGTTAACACAAAGTTCTATGTGTAATTTTTTTTAAATAAGAGAAAATTTACTTCTTGCTAGTATCAAGGTTCCTATGTTTTTTTTTTCAAATACCTTTTCTCTGTCCTTGCTAATGTACGAAAACCAATTTTTTGATTGGATAGTTGTTCTATATAAATTCCACCTTTTAAATTTACATATGGTACAGTATTAAATTTAAACTTCAAAATTTAAAATATATAAAACAACAATTTGATATTTATGAAAGTCTCATTTTTTTAAATCGATTTTTTTCCCCCCCCTCAAATTAGCAATATATGTTACATAACAACCCTGTATATCTTAGGGTAACGACGAACAGTTGATTGAGAATAGAAAAATATAATATTATTTTTATTTAATAAAAACACCTTATTATTTTTATATATTAAAAAATGTTAAAAACTAAATTATTTATATATTAATAAATAAGCAACCATTTGCTAACAAGCAACACAAAGAAGAAACTGTAGACAATTTATTGAAGAAAAAGAAATTAATACACGAAGCATAAACAAAACCCCACGGAACCTAATATTCATTGAGGGTGCCCCATTAGAACAGCAAGTTGGCTCCGTCCAGGTCGACCTAAACCAATGGAAAAGGACTACTTGCAGTGAATTTTGTGGGCAACGCTCTCTGGTGCAACAATGGAGGACGGCAACCACTGGTGATCTTCAAAATGTCCGACCATGATCCAGGTCCTATTCTATTTAACAAGCCCCAACCATGGAAGGAAAACCACACAGCAGGGCTCAAGGAGCTAAACTGAGCCTATCGGTCTCCTTGTTTTATTATGGAACAACGAGTTATGGGTGTTGTCGTAGGATTGGTCCAATTCTACTGTCAAAGAGTCAAGAATGGGGTGCTTCACTCCGTTGTACATCCCGGTTTCCACCCTAAAATGCACAAATGAGATCTTCATGATATCAAATCTTGTTTGTGTTGGAAACAAACTTCTAAAGAAGGGTTGGGGCGAATTTCGATTCCGTTAATATTTATAAGTA